GCCCACACTGCTGTGGACGGGGAAGGTTGGCGATGCGTCGCGTTTCCGGGTCTGGGGTGCTCGTGCCTTTGTCCGCGATACCACTGCGGACAAGCTCTCCGCTCGCGCCATTCCCTGCGTCTTCCTTGGCTTTGTCCCTGACGCGCCTGGCTGGCAGTTTTACGACCCCGCCTCGCGCCGTGTCTTTCCGTCTCAGGACGTCACCTTTGATGAGTCCGTCCCCTTTTACCGTCTCTTTCCCTACCGCACTGCTCCTCGCCCCCTCCCGCCGCTCTTTCTCGCCCCAGGTCCTCCCCAGGTAGACCCCCTCCCCGCGCCAGGTCCTGCTCCTTCAGGTGTTTCTCAGGTAGACCCTCCCGTGCCTGCGCCTGTTGAGGTCACTGGTGACTCGGGTCCTACTGGGGGTGGTACTGTCTTTGGGGGTGCTGAGCCTGGGGGTGCGGAGCTTGGGGGTGCTGAGCCTGGGGGTGCGGAGCTTGGGGGTGCTGAGCCTGGGGGTGCGGAGCCTGGGGGTGCTGAGCCTGGGGGTGCGGAGCTTGAGGGTGCTGAGCCGGGGGGTGCGGAGTCTCGGGGTGCTGAGCCTGAGAGTGAGGAGCCTGGAGGTCCTGAGCCTGGGGGTGCTGAGTCTGGGGGTGCGACGCCTGAGGGTTCTGGGTCTGCACCTGTGCGGTCTCCTTGGAGTAGCCGCCTTCGTACGCGTGTGCCTCTCACCTCACAGCAGCTGCACGACTGGTACGGTCGCCGTCAGGGTCGTGCTTCTGGAGCTCGGGGCTCTGCCGCTGGAGGTACTTCTGCTGACACCGCTGGAGCTGGGAGTGGTGCTGGTCCCGGAGGTGCTCGCACTGGAGGTGCTGGAGCTGCTGGGGCTGGAGGTACTGCTGAGCCTGAGGGTGCTACTGCTGGAGACCCTGGGTCTGGGGGTGCTGTTGCTGGAGACACGGAGGCTGGGGACCCTGGGACTGGAGGTGCCGGTTCTGGGGGTGCTGCTGAGGGTACTGGAGCTGCTGAGGGTGCTGGAGCTGCTGGAGGTGCTGGAGCTGCTGAGGGTGCTGGAGCTGCAGGAGGTGCTGGAGCTGTTGAGGGTACTGGAGCTGCTGGAGGCGCTGGAGCTACTGCGGGTGCTAGAGCTGCTGGTGCTGGTGGCACTGCACAGCCGCGCCTGTTCTTTGCTCCACCGTCTCCGTCGTCTCTCCCACCGCCTGACTCCGTACTTCGCCAGGTTCTTAGCCTCCTGTCGTCTACTGGTCTTCCGTTACAGCCTGGCTCACCTCTGCCTGCTCCTTCTCCTTACACTGAGCAGACAGGGGGCTTTACTGAGCGTCGTGAGCCTGCGTCACGTCCTGTCTCACCTGTCCGTTCTGGTCGTTCCAGTCGTCGTGTTCCTCGTCAGCGTCCGCCGGCTGTCCCCGGTCCTTCCCTTGTAGTCCGTCGTCCTTCCTCTCCTCCGCAGCGTGTTCCTCTGCCGTCCCCTCCGGAGTCTTCTCTGCCTGTTGTTCCAGACCCTGAGTCTGACCGGTTTCGTGCTGAGCACTCTACTGTCACGCGTCTGCTAGCCACTGTTGTCACTGACCCGTCGTTTGAGTCTGCTGCTGCGTCTGCCTTAGTCGCTGAGCTTGTTGACTTTGCTGCTGCCTGTCGTCTAGACTACGCTGCTAGTCTTGTTGCTGAGTCTGAGTCTGTCTGTCCTCCGTCCGTCGGGGGTGAGTGTGCTCTTGGCACGGACGTCCTTGAGGATAGGCACGAGGACCTTGAGTGTTTTGCAGCCGCTGCGCCTCATCTTGTGTCCATGCTGCTTGCACCTGAGGGAGACCCGGATGCACCAGACATCCCGACCCCGCGCTCTTACGCTGAGGCGATCGCGGGTGAGTACTCCTCTCAGTGGCAGACAGCCATGGATGCAGAGATGGCATCCTGGAAGTCCACAGGCACCTACGTCGACGAGGTTCCCCCTCCTGGGGCGAACATCGTCAGTGGCATGTGGATTTTCAGGGTGAAGCGGCCGCCAGGTTCTCCGCTTGTCTTCAAGGCGCGTTACGTTGCACGAGGTTTCAGTCAGCGAGAGGGAGTAGACTTCTTTCAGACCTTCTCCCCCACCCCGAAGATGACCACTCTTCGGGTGCTGCTGCACGTTGCCGCTCAGCGTGACTACGAGCTTCACTCTCTTGAATTCAGCACAGCCTTCTTACAGGGCAGTCTGCGCGAGGAGATCTGGCTGCGCCGCCCTCCTGGCTTCACTGGGTCGTTCCCTCCTGGTACCCAGTGGAGCCTCAGGCGGCCGGTCTACGGTCTCCGCCAGGCGCCACGTGAGTGGCACGACACACTGAGGACGACACTTGCGGCTCTTGGGTTTGCTCCGTCGACTGCTGACCCGTCGCTGTTTCTGCGCACCGACACTTCGCTGCCGCCGTTCTACATCCTCGTGTACGTCGACGACTTGGTCTTTGCCACTGCTGACACTGAGGCTCTCGCCCTGGTGAAGTCGGAGCTGCAGAAGAGACACACGTGCACAGACCTGTGTGAGCTGACAAGCTATCTTGGCTTGCGGATCACCCGGGACAGAGCACGCCGCACCATCACACTGACTCAGTCACACATGGTGCAGCAGGTCCTTCAGCGCTTCGGCTTCACCTGGTCCTCGGCACAGGCCACTCCTCTGGCTACAGGTCACTCGCTCTCAGCTCCACCTTCGAACGAGTCCGTAGAGCCGAGTGGTCCTTACCCAGAGCTAGTGGGCTGCCTCATGTACCTGATGACCTGCACTCGTCCTGACCTTGCGTACCCTCTTGGCCTTCTGGCTCGCTACGTGGCTCCTGGTCGGCACCGAAAGGTGCACATGGATGCTGCCAAGAGGGTACTACGCTACTTGTGCAGTACATCGGGCATGGGGCTCGTGCTTGGAGGACGGAGCGACGTTGTCCTCACTGGTCACTCGGACGCCTCTTGGGTTGACGACCAGGCTACGCAGCGGTCGTCACAGGGTTACACCTTCAGCCTTGGTTCTGGCTCAGTTTCCTGGCGTTCTACACGTTCGTCTTCAGTTCTCGGCTCCAGCTGTGAGGCCGAGATCTACGCCACAGCCATGGCTGCACAGGAGCTACGCTGGCTCACCTACCTGCTGACCGACTTGGGAGAGCGGCCTCGTTCTCCTCCAGTTCTGTACGTCGACAACAAGGCCGCCATTGCCTTGTGTCAGGAGCACAGACTGGAGCACAGAACGAAGCACATCGCTCTGCGTTACTTCCTTGCTCGAGAGCTGCAGCAGCGTGGCCAGCTTCGTCTTGCTTACGTGGCCACTCGGGCCAACACTGCTGATATATTCACCAAGGCGCTTCCGCCTGGTGATCATCAGCGTTTCTGCACCTTGTTAGGCCTAGTGCCCACATTTCCTCACTTGCTGTAGGCTTTGTTTGTACTGTGATCTATATATATATCTCTGCATGTGAACTGGCCTTGTGGTCTTTTGCTTGTGCTCAGACAGCGTGGTGACGTTGTGATCCACCCTGAGCTGTGTTTTGTTTCTTCTCTTGACTGGTCTTGTGACCGTTGCTTGCTCTGGCTATCCCCCATTTTGCCTATGGGGGTGTGTCAAATTATATATATATGCTTGTTTAGGTTATCTAGGCTGTATGGGGGTTAGCACTAGGGGGTACACAAACTTCCTCGATTCCCTAGTCTTGTACCCTAGCCTTCACCTAATCCATCATCCTTGCCTTAGGTTCTTAACAGCAAGCTGTAGGCAGTTATAACAGGATATGCAAATATAATTCAACACACCCCCGTAACTGCCTACGGCTATAGCTAGTGGTGTCTGGCATCAGGTCGCCTGGAGAGCGGTTGCTGTAGCTGGGATAGGCACAGAAACAGCGGTGGCTGACCGGCAGCACCTGTGAACGCCAGGACGGAGGAGGGCGCGGAGAGCGCGGAGGAGGGCTGGGATAGCCGGAGGGCGAAGGATGCTGGTCGCTCGCCATCTACGAGCAAACACAACTGTTGGTGAGGAGGAGGAAGCTGGTGGTGGTGCACAGGAGGAGAGCAGAGGAGAGGCGGCTGGAGGAGAGGAGAGAGGAGGAGGAGATGCGGCTGTAGGAGAGGAGAGTGGAGGAGGAGATGCGGCTGGAGGAGAGTAGAGGAGAGAGGAGGAGGAGATGCGGCTGGAGGAGAAGAGGAGAGGAGAGGAGAGGAGAGGAGAGGAGAGGAGGTGGCTGGCGCGGCAGAAGCTCTCCCGCCACCCCCTCATCCCCCTCCCCCCCATGCGCTCGCGGAAGCGCTGGCGCTGGGCGCTGGCGTCGCGCTAGCGCTGGCGCCCGCCGTTGGCGCTGGCGCTGGCGCCCGCCGTCGGCGCTGGCGTCCGCGCTGGCGCTGGCGACCGCCGTTGGCGCTGGCGCTGGCGCCCACCGTTGGCGCTGGCGCTGGCGCCCGCCGTTGGCGCTTGCGCTGGCGCCCGCCGTCGCCTCGCTGGCACGCTCGCCACTGGCAGAGCGCGACGGGGCAGGCGAAAGGGGGCAGCGCGACGGGTGCTGCAAAAGCAGCGGATTTCGAGCCAGCAGCGGATTTCGCGCTACTAGCAGTAGCATCCATGCCAGCAGCACAATAAGTCGCCATGGCAGATCGCGGGTTTGGTGGGCCCATGAAAAACGAGGTCCTAGGAGGGACCACGCTCTGATACCATGTTAAGATTAGGAGATTATGCAGTACTTAGGTTTAGGAGAGGTTTAGCAAGGAGAATCATCGAGGGAGAAGTTTGGCCAAAAGAGAGGGTTTCATTATGAAGTTGGAAGTACAAATAGGAAGGAGAGGAAGGGGAAAAGGGTACACCACCAGCAGTTGAACCTAATATCTAACTAATACACTAGCAAGCTGTAGGCAGTTATAACAGGATATGCAAATATAATTCAACAGTAGCCACTATCACTGTACAACACTAGACAAATGATGCCAAGGGTTACATATGCAGGTGGGCTACACAAGGCAGGCGGTTACACTACACACGCTACTGCATGTTACACACTAAGCCGTGGCACGACATTCGGCCCACAGAAGGGCTCTGTTAGCTGATCAGCACATGCCAGGCGAATCCTCTCAGGGGTGGCGGGGGAGTCGAGACGAAAGAAGCCAGTGTGGCTGGCGTCCTTCCGGGCGGCGTAGATGGCGTCTTTTATGGCCCACATGACAGATGAGCCGAGGAAGAAGGGCGGCTCGCCGACTGCCTTGGAGGAGAGAACTGCGTGCGGATTGGGGGAGTCCTGTTGTGGTAGGGGGAGGGAGGGGGGCGAAGGTGGAAGGGGGAAAAAGAGGGTGCATGGTGGAAAAAATAAGAAAAGGGGGGGAGGACGGGAATCGGGGGGAAGGGGGGAGGGCGGAGACAAGGGGTAAGGTGCAAAGAAAGGTGCAAAGTGACAGGGGAACAGACGACGGCACGGGGAAGGGAAGTGAAGTAGAGAGACGACCACTCCATCTTCACCCCCTGCCTCACACTCCCACACACACTCACAGCCAGCAGAGTGACTCGGAAGTCGGTGGGAATGTCAGAAGCAGCCGGGATCTTGTATGTGCCGGGCCCACACGTGAAGAGCGATCCAGGCGCCACCCACGGGTGGGCGCTATCGCCCCACTTGCTCTCTTCGATCACTGACCACCCCATGCCCTGTACGAACGCCCCCTCGATCTGCACGAAATTCGAGGGACGGAAATGAGGTTTAAGAAAAAATAATGAGCTCCCACACGTGAAGGGTGAGCCGGGCGCCACCCAGGGGTGAGCGCTGTCGCCCCACTTGCTCTCCTCGATCACCGCCCACCCCATGCCCTGCACGAACGCTCCCTCTATCTGCAGAAGCGAGGGGTGTAGGAAAGGAAATCAATGAGAATTGTGAGAACCACACACGTGAAGAGCCATCCAGGCGCCACCCAGGGGTGAGCGCTGTCGCCCCACTTGCTCTCTTCGATCACCGACACCCACCCCATGCCCTGCACGAATGCTCCCTCTATCTGCATGGGACAAAGTGGAAGGGGGTGTTGGGGGGAGGGTGGAGTGGGGAGACCGCAGGGATCTTGTACGCGCCAGACCCACACATGAAAAAACCAATGCCAGGTGGAACAACAATAGAGGGATCATGCCTGGCATTGAGTTTTTCATGATCGCCCACATTCATAAGCACATCGACTCGCGGCTCCACCCACTCCCCCGTGAGCACATCTACCACCACCTCCGCCACCGCTGCTGCTAGGTTGTGAGAGCTCACACGCAAGTCACACACCTCATTCAGCGTGCCTGACCGCACCCAACCACGCCCAACCTCACTCGTCCTCACCTGCCCAATGTCGATAGCCGGGTTCAGCGATCGCCCCACATCCATGAGAACATCAACTCGCGGCGCCACCCACTCCCCTGTCAGCACATCTACCACCACCTCCGCCACTGCTGCTGCTGCTTGAATGGCATCGCAAAACCAAGGAAACTACCTGTACAAGGGAACATGCATACCTGTCCAATGTCGATAGCCGGGTTGAGTGACCGCCCCACATCCATGAGAATATCAACTCGCGGCGCCACCCACTCCCCCACTCACCCACCACCTCCGCCACCGCTGCTGCGGCTGCTCCTAAGTTGCCATTCGAAACCCAAGTCACCCACCTCAAAACACGTCCCTGTGCCATGGGAACACACACATACCTGCCCAATGTCGATAGCCGGGTTAAGTGACCGACCCACGTCCATGAGCACATCGACTCGTGGCGCCACCCATTCTCCTGTGAGCACATCCACCACCACCTCCGCCACCGCTGCTCCAAACGTGAAGTACGCGAAGGGAGATCCGGAGGCTGTTGCCCAGTCGAAGCCGATGTTGGGGGTGGCGAAGAATCCTTGAGCTGACAGGTTTACGCGCTCCCTGTAGCAGCGATCGGCGACCTGGCATGGGGAAGGGGGAGGGTTGCTTAGGGAGGGGTACAGGGAGGAAAGGAGAGCCGGAGGCTGTTGCCCAGTCGAAGCCGATGTTGGGCGTGGCGAGGAATCCCTGCGCTGACAGGCTTATGGGCTCCCTGTAACATCGATCCGCAATCTGGGATGGGGGAACAGGAGCAGGGGGGGGGGTGCAGGGGTGGATTGGGGGAGCAGGGGGAGCAAGTGGGGAGGGCATGTTGGGGAGGGCATGTGGGGGGTGCATGAGGGGCGTGAAGTAGGCGAAGGGAGAGCCGGAGGCTGTTGACCAGTCGAATCCGATGTTGGGCGTGGCGAAGAATCCCTGCGCTGACAGGTTTACTCGCTCCCTGTAACAGCGATCGGCAATCTGGACGAGGGAAGAGAAGTACACGCACAGGGATGGGCACATAGGGAGGCGGCGCATGGGGGAGCAGGGAAAGGGTGAGCTGGTTTGGGGGCTGTGAACCGTGGGAAACCGTTTCATCTCACCAGTTCCGTTTCATCTCACCAGTTCCGTTTCATCTCACCAGTACCGTTTCATACCGTTTCATCTCACCTGCACCGTTTCATTTCACCTGCACCGTTTCATCTCACCTGTACCGTTTCATCTCACCTGTACCATTTCATGTTCCGTTTCATCTCACCTGTACCGTTTTATCTCACCTGTACCGTTTCATCTCACCTGTACCGTTTTATCTCACATGTACCGTTTCATCTCACCTGTACCGTTTCATCTCACCTGCCCGAACGTCTCCTCAGGGTACTGCTGCCTGATTGGCGCCATCCGCCGCTTGATCTCCTCACATGCTTCCAAAACCGCCCGCCCGTAGATGTCTGACGATGCTGATGCTGCTGTGGGAGAGGTGTTGGGTACCTGCAGCGTTCAACGAGGGGGCGCGTGAGACTGATGAGGCAGAATTCTTCAAAGATTAGAGAATTCTCAGCCTCCTTCAAAATTTATATGAAACTAGCAAGTGAGACTTACGGGGCACGGTAGAGTGTTGAGGATGATTGGGCAGCAGGGGAAGGAATGAGAGTTGGGGACCGATAAGGGGGGGCAATGTGGCAACAAAAAGGAGACAATCAGAGGAACTTGTCAGCAGCCATGCCACCCCTGTTTTCCCCCACCCCACCTCTTCACTTGCTATAGGCTCACCTTATCTGTGCTCGTTTCAGAAATGAACACAGCAGACAGCGGCACCCCCAGCGTCTGAGCAGCGATCTGAGCACACTTGGTGTGCAGCCCCTGACCCATCTCCACCCCTCCATGCGTCACCAGCACCGTTCCGTCCGTGTACACATGCACCAGCGCCCCTCCTTGGTTCAGAAACTTGGCCGTGAATGAAATGCCGAACTTGGTGGGGATCATTGCGAGGCCCTTCTTTCGCCACCGGCTTGTTGCGTTGTATTTGTCGATGTCGGTTCGGCGGGATTCGAAGGAGGAGGAGCGGAGCAGCTGCGTCCAGATTCGGTGCATCGGGTTGTGCGTCAGAGACTGGCCGAAATGCAGCGTGTAGCCGTCAGGTTGGAGATTCAGAAACTGCAGGAGAGGGGTGGGGGGGTTGGGGGAGGGAACAGGGGGTTGGGGGGAGGAGGGAGTGGGGACGGGTCACGGGAATAGGAAGGCGTTGGGTTATGGTTCACTGCATAAAAGCAAGACCCACTCTACTCTCTTCAGCACTCTTCCCAACAGACCTCGCCACATGGTCAACAACACTCTCCATCGCCAGCATTCCCTGCTCCACCAACCCGTACCAATGCTGAACCAACACACTCACCCTGATTTCCTCCGCACTCTTCCCAAGGCTCCTCGCCACATGGTCGATAGCACTCTCCACCACCCCGCCACTCGCCTCAACACTCCCTGCATAAACCAAGACTCACTCTTATTTCTTCCGCGCTCTTCCCAACAGTCCTGGCCACATGGTCGAGTGCAGTCTCCACCGCCATCATGCCCTGCGGCCCACCGCTAGTACCACCCTACACAACCATGACCTTACTCCGCAAAATCAACACACTCACTCTTATCTCTTCCGCGCTCTTCCCAAGGGTCCTGGCCACGTGATCGAGTGCACTCTCCACCACCATCATGCCCTGCGGTCCCCCGAACCCCCGGAAGGCCGTGTTGGACGGCAGGTGCGTGCGAGCCATGCGCCCGCGCGCGTGCATGTGGGGCACTGAGTAGACCGAGTCACAGTGGAAGAGGGCTCGCTCTAGCACTGCTGCTGAGAGATCGAGAGTGCTGCCGGCGTTGGAAACCAGGAGGACTTGCAGGGCCACCAGACGACCACAGGGTTTGAAGCCCACCTGACCAGAGGGGGTGAGGGGGACGGGGAAGAGGGGGGAGGGGGGAAGGTGGGAAGAGGGGGAGGGGGGAAGGGGAAAAAAGGGAGGGGGGAAGGAGGTGACATGCAGGCACGGTAAAGAGCATCAGGCTGCTGCCACGTCATGCCACGTCATGCCACGTCATGCCACGGGATGCCATGCCATGTCGTACCAAGCAAAATCTCACCTTGTATTTGCCATAGAAGGGGTGTCGCTGTCCCGTGACCTTCATATCATCATCCCGATCCAACGTGATCCGCACAGCCCTGTTCAACCGCCAAGCCAGCACACACGCCGCCACTAGTACACTCTATTGAACCTGTCACCCCGCCATCTCACCTTGTATTTGCCGTAAAAAGGGTGTCGCTGCCCCATGACCTTCATATCATCATCCCTCTCCAACGTGATCCGCACAGCCCTGTTCAACCGCCATGCCGGCACACACGCAGCCACACTTGGAAATAGGCATCTTACCGTGCACCTGCTAACCCACCACTCACCTTGTACTTGCCATAGAAGGGGTGTCGCTGTCCCGTGACCTTCATATCATCGTCCCGATCCAACGTGATCCGCACAGCCCTGTTCAACCGCCACGCCGGCACACACGCCGCCACCGCCACCAGCACACTCCGCGTCTCCTTCCCCCCGAACCCCCCTCCCAGCCTCTTAACCCTCGATACCACCCTGTGCATGGGAATTCCCAGAACAGACGCAACGTCTTTCTGGTGGTGTGTGGGGGCTTGCGTGGAGCAGAGCATGTGGAATTCCCTCCCCCCGTCCACGGGCCAGACCACGCAGGTGTTGGGTTCGAGATAGAAGTGCTCCTGCCCTCCCATTGCCACCTCGCCTTCGAGTACCAATGGGCATTGTGACACGTCAGCGAGGACGGATTCCACGTCAGCAGGGGAGACGGAGGACCCGGTCCGGGCGGCGGGCACTTGGAAGCTTGCTGAATCGGCCAGGGAGGATTTGACATTGTTGTTCTCTTCTGAGCCGTTTTCTTGATCGGTTTTCTCAGGGGGGTTTGGGACCCTGAGGAGGTTTCTTTCGGTCTGCCCGCCCGAGAACGGGAATTTGTGGAAGCTGCCCGAAGCAAGGGCTTCCTGGATGGTGAGTACGGCGGGCAGGTCCTCGTAGATCACTTTGACCTTTTTTGCGGCTGCCCGGGCGTGGTCGTGAGTGTCGGCAACAACCACTGCAATGATCTGTTGAGGGGCAGAAAAAAAAAGGGATAACCAGAGAAAGAAGACAGCTGCAAAGGGTTGGGGAAATTGAATGTCAGGAAGGAAGAAATATTAAAGCTGGTGGAGTTGAATAAGTAAGCGAGGGAGCTAGGTGAATATGCAACTGCAGACCCCCCTGCCCCTCCCATACCGGTCCCTCCCATACTTGCCCCTTCCACAGATCCCCCACACCCACCTGTCCCACACAGTGCACACTCTCCGAAGCAAACACCTCCTCATCGTGCTCCACCGCACCGAACCGGTTGCTACCAGGCACGTCCTTGGCTCCAAACATCCCCAAAAAGCCCGGACAGGTGGCGGCCTCTGATTGGTCGATGGAGAGGATGCGGGCGTGGGGACGGGTGCTGAGGACGAGAGCTCCGTGCAGGGCGGAGGGGGGTAGGGGAGTGTCGTCTGCATACTCTGCTTCCCCTGTCACCTGAAAGAGGGGCAAGGGCAGTTCGGGAAATAAGAGACACAAGAGACACACACACAACGCGAGTGCTGAGGACGAGAGCACAGTGCAGGGCGGAGGGGGGGAGGGGAGTGTCGTCTGCATATTCCGCCTCGCCTGTCACCTATAGGGGGACGACCAAGGAGAACAGATGAAGGGAGGATGCGGGCGTGCGGCCGGGTGCTGAGGACGAGAGCACATGCAGGGCGGATGGGGGGAGAGGCGTGTGATCAGCATACTCTGTTTCCCCTGTGACCTACAGGGGGACAATCAAGGAACAAGGAAGCAGAGGTACGGACGTGGGGTGAGGACGCGTGCTGAGGAGGAGAGCACCGTGCAGCGTGGAGGGGGGGAGGGGAGTATCGTCCGCACACTCTGCTTCCCCTGTCACCTGAAAGACGGGGATGAGCAGGGAATAAGGAAGCAAAGGAAGGAAGGAAAGGGAGGAAGCAAATGGAGGAAGCAAAGGGATGGGTGCTGAGGACAAGAGCTCCGTGAAGGGCGGAGGGGATAAAGGGAGAGGCTGTGGTCTAAATACTCTTCTTCTTCTATCACCTGCGAGAGAAGGATGGGCAGGTGGGAAACACAAAGGCACCTGGAGAGTAGAGCCGCAGAACCACCTGCAGGTCAGCAGAGAGGTGAACAGCCGGCACTCCCACCACCTCCCCTGCCTCCATCACTAGCGGCGGCGGCGCCACTGGTACTGCCTTTAGCGGCGCCACTGGTACTGCCTTTAGCGGCGCCACTGGTACTGCCTTTAGCGGCGCCACTGGTACTGCCTTTAGCGGCGCCACTGGTACTGCCTTTAGCGGCGCCACTGGTACTGCCTTTAGCGGCGCCACTGGTACTGCCTTTAGCAGCTCCAGTGGTACTGCCTTTAGCAGCGCCACTAGCACACTCGCTGATCTAAACCCACCTGACGAAAACAGGACGCACCTGGAGGTCAGCAGAGAGGTGAACAGCAGGAACTCCCACCACCTCCCCTGCTGCCTTTCCCCCTCCTCCCTCAGTAGCTGCACCCTCTGCCAAGGGTCTAGCCTCCCATGCTTGCATGCCATGGGGATACGGGCGAGGGAGAGAGTCCAAAGCGGACAGGTAGGTGGGGGGCGGCCACATGGAAGCTGCGTCGCTGCTGCTGCTGCCGTTGGTTGTGGTGTTGGTGGTTGTGAGGGTTCCCTTTTCTCCTTCCGAGCCTGCTCCTGCCTCTCCCTCTGCCCCTGCCCCTCCCGCTGCCCCCGTTCCCATTTTCCCTGGCAGCAGCTGCTGCTGCGACTGACCATTCACGCGGTGGGCCACGAGCAGAAAGAACTTGAAGAAGAAAGACAAGACGAGGGACCCCCGGAACTCGGGCATGCCGCCAGGTGCATTCTCAGGCACGGAGATCTCCTCCTGAAGCACCTGAAGGGCCACCTGAAGGGTTTCTTGAGTCCATGGGCGGGTGAGGAGGTGTTGCTGCGTGCGGTGCGCTGATACTGTTGTTGCTGCCACTCCTCCGAACACAAGGGAGCAGTCGAGGACTGAAGGTGGGGCGTCTGGATGGGGGAAGGAAGGGGCAAGAAGAGGGAGAAAGGGGGAGAAAGGGAGAGAAAGGGGGAGAAAGGGAGAGAAAGGGGGAGAAAGGGAGAGAAAGGGGGAGAAAGGGAGAGAAAGGGGGAGAAAGGGAGAGAAAGGGGGAGAAAGGGAGAGAAAGGGGGAGAAAGGGAGAGAAAGGGGGAGAAAGGGAGAGAAAGGGGAAAAAAAGGGGGAAAAAGGGCGAGAAAGGGATGGCAAGCGTTCAGCTGCGGCTAGTTTCAAGTGAGTCGGTACAAAGCAATGCAACGCCGAACTACTGGCGGATGGATGGATGGGGGGATGGCGGATGGCGGATCAGTGGATGAGCAGATGGGAAATGGGCAGAGGGACAGGGGTGTGTACGGGAGGGTGGATAATTTGGCACATAGAAACCCACCTGGAGGGAGCGGCGGATGGGAACCCACCTGGAGTGGGAGGGGAGAGCAGCACGCGCAGAGCGGCATTCACGAGAGCAATGTCGTCGTCCTTGCGGTGTGCCTGCTTGTATGCCACTATGTGCTCGTTGCGCCGAGTCCTGGGCATGGAGAAGTAAACAAAGCACAAGCATTTGGCGAATAGATCAGATAATGAAGTTTGAGATCGAGTAAGTGGGGACGGAAACGGAACAGGGGCAGGAACGAAACTCTGACGCGCAAACAAACAAAGAACAACAACAGAATTGGCTTCGGTAACCAGGACATAACTCGTCCTGGATACGCCATTCAAAATAGCAAAAAACACAGTGCACAGTGCAACGTACCCATCCCATCAACCCACTCACCAAGGAATCAACACAGCAGTGAGGACTTCGCCCTCCCTCAAATCCACTTTCCGGTACCCCTTGAAGAAATCCCGTGCTGCCACCTGTCGCAGCTCGATTGGACGGGAGGATTGCTGGGCCTTGTCCACGTCAGCATCTGCCACGTCAGCAGCCCGGGGTGCCAGCCTGGCGAGGTGGAATGTCGCGTTGGCAGCGATGAGGATGGGGTTGAGGTCGGATATGGGGCTGGCAGTTACGATGTTACCAGCTAGCGTTGCCACGTTGCGAATCTGAGAAAGGAATGAGGCCGATGCGGAGAAGGGGGATGGATCACAGAGAGGGGGTAGAGGAATGAGTATCTCAAAGACGTTCTAAGACCAGTGCCAGTTAGTGTGTTACCGGCTCACTTTGTCAAGTTACGAATCTGAGAAAGGAACGAGGCCTATGCAAGAAGGGAGAGAGGGGTGGCAGATACGGTACATGTGTTACTTTCAAGAAAAGGAAAAACTGTTACACTGTTACCATCTAGTGCTGCCCTGTTGCGAATTGCCCGCGAACCACCTGAGCTGGTCCGCTATAGTAGCACACACAGCGGTCTTGTGAGTTGGCATGCGCTGCACTGCTGCCAGCTTGGCCTGGCGCAGGGCAGAAAGGGAGGCTGCTGCATCCAAACCAAGATGTCACAGAGGAAAGGACCATTCGAGACTTGATCAACCAGCAAGTAGCATGCATATGTGCTTACCTGCACTCCAGCGAACCACCTCAGCTGCTCCGCTATAGCCGCACACACAGCCGTCTGGTCAGGTGCCACACTCCCCACTGCTGCCAGCATGGCTTGGCGCAGGGCAGACAGGGAGGCTGCTGCGCCCACGGTGATGCCGTGCTCTGATTGGCTGATCTCTGAGAGCGCAGGGATGGCTGCCACGTGGATGTAGGCTGGAGGGCTGGGAGAGGGAGGGTTGAGAAAGGGGGCGAGACAGATGCGGCGGAAGAGGGAGCGGAGGGGGGAGAGAAGAGGGGGAAGGAGGGGCGTGGGGGAGAGAGGCAACGGCGGAGGAAAGGGGATTTAGTAAAGTGGACGGATGGAGGGGAGAGGGGAGAGGTGGGCAGGAGCAGTGGGAGAGAAAGGGGGATGTGGGTGGAATCAGGGATGGAATGACGGAACAGGGATCAACAGGCGCAATGAAATTTCCCTTGAACCCAACATCACCCCTCTGCACCGCACTGCATCTCACCAGAGCTCCTTGAACCGCATCTCCATGCCAACCTCCGTGTTCCCCCCCACCACCTTGGCTGCAGGAAAGGCTGATCGCAACCCTTTCAAGCTCACACAACCGCACTCAACCGCAATGCCTCACTTAATCTCCTTCAACTCCAATCTCCTTCACCTAATCTCCTTCACTTTGTCAATAGCAGCACCAGCGCCGACAGCAGAAATAGCACCAGCAGCGCCAACAACCCACGTGGTGAGTGCGCCGCCTCCCTCATGCCCTCCTGTCATTTTGTTACGGCTCAGTGCCCTCAGTCCCCCGTGATAAAATGACAGGGGGGCCTGAGGGAGGCGGCGCGCTCACCATGTGGGTTGTTGGCGCTGCTGGTGCTATTTCTGCTGTCGGCGCTGGTGCTGCTATTGACAAAGATGCCGTCCTTCACTTAATCTCCTTCACTTTTGAGTCGACTCAAGAATCACCGCACTGCATCTCACCTGAGCCCCTTGAACCGCATCTCCACGCCGACCTCCGTGTTCCCTGCCACCACCTTGGCTGCAGGAAACGCTTCTCGCAGCGCCAACAGCTGGCGCAGCGTGATTGGCCGAAACCACACCGCCTTGCTCCTCTCCTTGCTACTGCCGCTGCTGACCGTGGAAGCAGTGCTGGAAGAAGAATGCAGTTGCAGGTATTTACAATCCCCAAGGCACAGCGGCAGTGGGTGCTGGGATCGCCTCAGTAACTCGGGAGGAAAGATAGGTTCAGACACACCCAGCAGGTCCGTTTCAATGCCACTCGCTGCCGCTGCTGGCGATGCTGCTGGTGCTGCTGCTGCAGCTGATACTCCTAGTGAGCAGGGCTTGGCTTTGCCGCAGGTGCCACCTTCACAGCACTTAGCCTCATTCCGTCGGTCAGCTTTCCCGCACGCACAGGGCAGGCCAGTAGAAGGACAAACTACTGCCCCAAGCTGCCCGCCAACAAAACCATCCCTAAGAGCCACGTCAGCAGCAGCATGAGAAGCAGCATGCGAAGCAGCATTAGGAGCAGCAATAGAGGCAGCATGAGAAGCAGCATCAGCGGCATAGGCAGCAGCGTCGGCGCGAGCAAAGGTGCGGAAGGCCTCGAGAATGGGGCGGTAGCCGGTGCAGCGACACAGGTTGCCTGATATGGCCTCCTCTATCTCCGCCTCTGAAGGCAGCTTGTACCCAGACGCTGGTGGTGAGAGGGATCCCAAGGAGCCTTGCAGAGCATCAGAAGAGGGAGAGGAGGAGAGCAGGTATCCATCAAGGGGAGCGGCCGCAGAGGCGGCAGAGGAGGATGAAGCAGAGGCAGAGGAGGAGGAGCGGAGCAGCGCATACATGGACATGACAAAGCCGGGCGTGCAGAAGCCACACTGGGAGCCGTGAGAGGAGGACAGAGCCGCCTGCACCGGATGCAGCCTCCCCCGCGTGCTTCCGATGCCCTCTACTGTAACCACCGCTGCCCCTTCCACGCTGTATAATGGGGCCAGGCACGCGTTGACGGCACAGTGGCTGGTGGTAAGGAGGGATGGGGATTGGGAGTGCAAGAAAAGGGCTTCAACCAAGTGGTGAAGTGACGCTGAAAGGCATCGTGCCTGCCGATGCCCTCCACTGTCACCACCGCTGCTCCCTCTACGCTGTATAAATGGGCCAGGCACGCATTCACTGCATAGTGGCTGGTGGGGAGGGGGGAACGGGAAGAGAGGAATGGAAACGCAAGGACTGGGTGTTGACGTGCCTGCCGATGCCCTCCACTGTCACCACTGCTGCTCCCTCTACGCTGTATAAATGGGCCAGGCACGCGTTGACGGCACAGTGGCTGGTGGGGAGGGGGGAACGGGAACGGAGGAATGGAAACGCAAGGACAGGAGTTGTGGTGCCTGCAAATGCCCTCCACTGTCACCACCGCTGCTCCCTCCACGCAGTGTAAATGGGCCAGGCACGCGTTCACTGCACTGTGGCTGGTGGGAGGGGGGAACGGGAACGGAGGAATGGAAACGCAAGGACATGGCGTTGTGGTGCTGCCGGTGCCCTCCACTGTCACCACTGCTGCTCCCTCTACGCTGTATAGAGGGGCCAGGCACGCGTTCTCTGCACAGTGGCTGGTGGATTTGGGGTGGATAAGGAGAGAAGAGGGTTCGTACGGGAAGGAGGGGACTGGAGATTGGGGCCTTAGCCACTCAGCTGCTCTGGGTGCTGCCAATGCCCTCCACTCCACCATCACCACCGCTGCTCCCTCCACGCTGTATAAATGGGCCAGGCACGCGTTGACTGCACAGTGGCTGGTTGGTGGAAGGAAGGGAAGAGGGGACTGGAAACGAAAGGACAGGGTTGAAAACGGGGTTTGCTGTGTGAGCTCGTTTCTTCGCCCCTCTTTTGCATTTTTCCCTTGTCTTTGCCCTCTTGGCAGATAAAGGAGAAGACAAAGGCTTTCCAGCTGCAGCAGGGCTTCATGCACTCCGTTGCCCCACGTGCTGCCATAGCAAGAAATGATGATGGAGCTATGTACAAAAAGTTGTCAAAAAAATGGTGACGCTCAAACCAGGCACTAGGGCAGTGAGGAGTCTCCGAGATTCTGCAGATGGAAAGCCTTTGTCTGCTCCTTTATCTCCCAAAGGGGCAAAGACGAGGGGGAAAGGCAAAAGGGGACGAAGAAACGAGCTCATACATCAAATTTCTCACTCACTCACCCTCTCGCTCACCCACTCACCTTCCCCGCCGTAACTCACCTGAATCTGCCCGTCCCTGCGTCTACCCGCGATGCCATCACAGTGCATGCCCCACACCCGCCCTCCATGCTTCCAACGTGGATGCGGTTTTCTCACTCACCCTCAGTACCGCTCCATGCTCACCTCATTCTGCCCGTCTTAGCGTCAACCCGCGACACCATCACAGTGCACGCCCCGCACCCGCCCTCCATGCTCCCAACGTGGATGCGGTTTTCTCACTCACCCTCAGTACCGCTCCATGCTCACCTCATTCTGCCCGTCTTAGCGTCAACCCGCGACACCATCACAGTGCATGCCCCGCACCCGCCCTCCATGCTTCCAAACGTGGATGCGGTTTTCTCACTCACCCTCAGTACCGCTCCATGCTCACCTCATTCTGCCCGTCTTAGCATCAACCCGCGACACCATCACAGTGCACGCCCCGCACCCGCCCTCCATGCTTCCAACGTGGATGCGGTTTTCTCACTCACCCTCAGTACCGCTCCATGCTCACCTCATTCTGCCCGTCTTAGCATCAACCCGCGACACCATCACAGTGCACGCCCCGCACCCGCCCTCCATGCTCCCAACGTGGATGCGGTTTTCTCACTCACCCTCAGTACCGCTCCATGCTCACCTCATTCTGCCCGTCTTAGCGTCAACCCGCGACACCATCACAGTGCATGCCCCGCACCCGCCCTCCATGCTTCCAAACGTGGATGCGGTTTTCTCACTCACCCTCAGTACCGCTCCATGCTCACCTCATTCTGCCCGTCTTAGCATCAACCCGCGACACCATCACAGTGCACGCCCCGCACCCGCCCTCCATGCTTCCAACGTGGATGCGGTTTTCTCACTCACCCTCAGTATCGCTCCATGCTCACCTCATTCTGCATGTCTTAGCGTCAACCCGCGACACCATCACAGTGCACGCCCCGCACCCGCCCTCCCCGCACCCCAACTTCGTGCCTGTCAAGACATTGTCTGCCGTGATGTGGGGAGGGGGGAGGGGGGGAAGGGGGGAGGTGGAGAGGTGGGGATGTGGGGAACGGGAACGAGGGATGGACAAAAGGTGGAAGGAATGGGGTGCTGAGCGGGGGATTCGGAAGGAGGGGTGGCCTGGGGAAAGGGGGGAAACAGAGGGAGGAGGATGGAGAAGGATGCAAGAGGGGTAGATGGCGGGAGACGGGGAAAACGAAAGAGCAGGGGATGAGAGAGAGGCGAGGAGCGGAGATGAGTTGAATCCACGAGGTGCGCATGTAAGCAACACACTTAACAGAATAATTGTTTTCTGAAGTGTTTAGCCTTAAAAAGGGGATAGTAACAAAGCTCTAAGCACAACTTGACAAGCTGAAGGTACAGGCGAACCAGAGCTTGCCACTAATGGCTGGAACTAGTAGTCGGAATTTAGTAACTAGTTACTGAAGTTTTATCACACGTAACCATATAGTTGATACAGCGAGCATCAGCCACTGCTACTAATAGTAGTCACAAGCGTTGGCCGCTTCTGCTACTAGTAGTATTTACAAGCGTCACCTAAAGCACAAATCTCGCGTGTATATACACGCCAGCCGCTGCTAGTAGTAGTACTATTTACGAGCGTCACCCGAAGCACGAATCAGAAGCGCGGCAGGAGGCGTCGCGAGTGACCCGCTAACCACAAAACTCGAGCTAACTTCTCTCGAAAAATCACACTGTTGGCCCTTGAACAAATAAACGCGAAACAGAACCACAATCACTTGAAGTCGAATTCAAACTTAGAAAATTCTGGAAAAGCAGTCGAGATTCAGCCGTACCGCGCAGGAACTGCAGCAGCGTGGTGTCGGCGTGACCCGCGGGGAGCACGAACCTCCGGCCATTCACGAACACCACGGGCTCTGTCGCCGAGGCTTCGCGAAAGAACGCATTGAGTTCGTCGTCGTCCATTTCTTATTCGCAAACTACGATGATCGGCAGTACGGCTTGCGAATTTAGATTCAACGGGGCCTATCAATCAAGCTAAGCTACTGTGGATTCAAGCGAGCGCAATGAATGAGAGCACGGAGTAAATGTTATTAGTAAATGTGCCTGCTCTTACATTTGCCTTGCCAGGAAAAGTTATCGCGGGAAAAGTGATGCGACGTACTTGTTAATGACGGGTTCTTTATACGGATCCTGCATGTCTTGCTATTCGCTTACTATAATGTGTTCATTACGTAAAGTCAATTGCCAGAGTCAATCGCCTGTAGACCACTTGTCTTTACAATCGAAGCTGCTCTTTAGTTGATATTAAATTTCAAGTTGATGATGAAAAGGCAAGAAGCTAATGATGTGAACCTTGATATTATTTTTATTTGACAAATGGTGGAAATTTTTCCAGTTCATGTACGCATAGCATGTAAGCTCTAATTTACAATGCCAGCTTCTTGATTCCGGGGAATGAGGGTCGAATTGCTACAAGAGCATCGCCAAACCCAACCGCATCCCCATCCTCCACCAGGAATTTGACCACCTCTCCCGCACTCTCCGACTGGGTTACACCAAGTGAGACATTACACCAAATGAGGCAAGGGGAGCACAAGAGGGGGTCGCTGTCATGAGAGGGTGACGCAGACAGTGTCGAATCAGGAGAGCAAAGCAGGCATGCCCCAGGAGAACCGCCAGGTGAGGTAAACAGAAGAGAATGAACATGCGTATCTAGGATGTAAAACCTATCCCTCAATAGCCAACACGATACCTTAAGGGTACATAATCAAGAGGGGCATATGGTCATACCTCAATAGCGAGTTGTGTACCAAGCTGCTCTAGGTAGCACACCACCTGCCCCTTCTTTATGGCAGCGCCCTGAAACAGAGGAACAAACAAACAGCAGCACACGAGACACACGAAAGCCAAATCGTTTCCAAGTTATTGTGGGTGACGTGTTACAATCGCTGCTAGTGTCACTCTCAGTCAGCACATGGATAGTAAGGCACATGCAACAGTGGCAACGTAATAGTAAATTGCACCCAGAACGGCTTGGAATGGCACGACTCATCGTTCAACTTAGACGGCACAAGGCAAAAACCAGTACCACTTCTCAGAGAACTGCCTAAACGCCAAATTTACACAATACGTTGCGTCCCTTTCTTTCCCAAAACTCTCGCGTTCAACGATTCCCCTGTCTCAGATGGACTTCGTTGTGAGCTTTTGACCTCGTTGACCAGCCTGACCTCGTTGACCAGCTCGACCTTATCAGCCAGCCTATTCTCACCTCAGTGACTAGCGCCTTGCCCTTCTTGCCCTTGACCTGCCGACCACGACGCATGATGCCCACCTGTTAATATGGGGGAGAGGGGGAGGGAAGGGGGGAAGAAGGCGGAGCGGGGAGAGGGACGGGGGAAGGTGGAACAGGCACGTTGGTCGAAATGGGAGCATGGGGAGAAGAGAAGAATGTGTACGAAGAGAGATATGGGGGGTGGAGGAAAGGCAGGATGCCATTTCTTTCTAGAAAATCTATCCCTATTGATATTCTAAAGTCTCTCACCATGAGAACCTGTTACTTTTGTTCGCAGGCCATTTTTAGCAGTGGTAATCATATGCCATGGGTGGTGCCACCACAAACCCCCCCACTGGGTCGATCGACCAATACAAACGCTGTGAGAGCGGTGAGGTCACATACAAAAAAGCTTTCTCGCACGCATTCCTCACTCTCTCAGCCGCAGCAGGGCGCAGCTACAGGCAGGGGATGGGCAGCAGCAGCAATCACTTCACTTCCCCACTGGGTTTATCTGTCAACTCACCTACCGCGAAGCCCTTCATCCACACCAGCCTCGCTCTCATCTGCGGCAGCAGGCGCAGCAACAGGCGGGGAAGGGGCGACAGACAGCAGCAGCACAAACAGCCAAGACACTTCCCCACTGGGTTCCTGTCAACTCACCCGCGGCGAGGTCACGTATTGAAGCCCTTCATCCACGCCTGCCTCGCTCTCAGCCGCAGCAGGAGGCGCAGCAACAGGCGCAGAAGGGGCGGCGGCAGCCAGAGACGCGGGCGAGTCGAACATGGGGGGAAGGGGGGCGTGCGGCGCAAAGGCTAGCGCCTGCGCGGCCTTGACCCCGCCCACGTCCCTCCGCACGTGTAGCTCCATCTTGCCGATCTGATTGGGCACGGCAGGTGGGATGATGGGAGATGGGAACGAGCATGGTGTGGCGTCAGTTGGCACGAACAAGGCAGGAAGGAACGGGTGAGATACGATGCGGAAGAAGAAACGAACTCAATGAACAGAACGATATGGTAGCGGGTGAATGGATGTGATTGATTTTTCACTCCCCATTTTACGTGTCTGATTCTGTGTGTCGCACCTTGATTCTGAGCTCGGCGATCTTGGTCTCGTCGCAGAGCTCCATCAGCAGCGACTGGATCTGAGGGCGCCATAATGGAGGGGTGAACGATTGAAGTGAAAACAGATCTATGAACTTGTGAAACGAGCCAGAAGCATCAACGAGCCTTGTCGCAGACGTCCATCAGCAGCATCACGAAGACGTGTACAGATGATTCATCATAGTCATAACCCGTGTTCATATGTTGAGAGGGAGAATTGAGGATTATCATTCGCACAAAGGAAGACAACTGCAGAAACGCACCTCGAAGGCAGTCGCACGCTCGCTATTAAGTCGACTAAAATGACACGTAACTACTCGCACATCAGAGGGCATCTGAAGAAACGCACCTCGAAGGCAGTCGGAACAGGGAGGTCATCATGAATGCTCTCAGCAGCCTCCTCCTCCTCCGTGTCCTGCTCGGCCTTGACCTTCCCCTCTGCTTTATCTCCCTGGACAGCTGTAACATGATCCGAAACGACCGGCGCACCAAGGGAGGTACAAAAGAGCAGTTCGGAGGAATATCTGACTGAGCGTCAAGCTAATAGACGTAAAAACCCTGTAATAGCTCTTCATCGTCCTAATATCTGAGTGACTCTCACATCGTCCGATTCGAGAACCCGTAAAATCAATCAGACATAGTAACTAGTAGCATTCCTTTGCCGGCTCAGACTCTGAGGATCTTACGCCGGTCAGTGGCGACCGCATCTTCTCTGGATCGAGGCTCTCCGCGATGAGGCAGCGAGTCGCAGAGGCGAGGTCGCTGCGATTCGCGAAGACGACGATTGCGAAAGGGAGCTCGCGGGTTGCGAAGATGACGCGGACGCAGACGCAACGATGCGCGCTACAGCCGTGGACACTGCTCGGGCAAAACGGGGGAAATCAGAGTTCCTTGAAGCAGTTTCTTAGAGCAGGGCTCGATCTATTTGACATCGCAAGTGTTACAATTTCGTGCAAAATTGACACGATATTTTTTATGGCAACAGCAGATTATGGGATCCACATAGAAAACCAAGAGCACCTTGAGAGGAGGTGGTGAGAGAAGCCATGTTCTTTCAGTCTTAGCTGATTCAGGCAAGTTTAGAATGGAGCAAGCCAACCAGCGCTGTGATTAGGAGCTATTGACACCAACTGGCTTCAGCGCTTGACAAAATATGCCTATGAAGCACATGAAGCAAGGCGTTGGCCTATCCCTCGGTTTCGCCGAAGGAACTCCGACGCCAAGTCACGGCTGTCCGATGAGTGATCTGTATGGAATGAATCTGTCCGATCACGATTCACGATTCGAGAACTTGAGGGGGCATGGCTGGGAGGGAGGGAGGTCTCCCTCATCGATTTCTGTGACTGCTGCATGCTGCTACTGATGCGGTTGGAGGCGTTCAACCAGAATTGCATCTCCCTTGGTTTCATCGCAAGGCGAGGATCAATGTCTAGTCAGATCGAACGGTGCCGAGCAGTTGTCAGGTCAGCCGACGGTGTGTATCGACGGTTTAAACCTGCCTCTTTGCTGACGGTCGGGAAACGCCGGGGTGAGATGGCATGAAACGATGGTGAAAGTGACAAGGCCAGACACGCAGAAGGACAGCCACAGGATGCGGTGGTCCAACCTCGATGGCGTATCGAGACGATGCATTGGAGGTTGAGCGGCGCGGTCACTGCTCAAATGCGGGAAACGATAAGATGCACGGCGCGGGTGCTTAGTGGCCAGGATTTTTCTGGTGATGTGGCATTGTCTGCGTTTGTGACAGCTCCGCTGAATGGCTCAAGATGCCGAGGTACCCAATCAGAATGCATTTCTTACGAAGCTCATAGAGACAGCCCACCTTCCACGAATTGTTCTTGCAATGTGAGTCAGCTATTCCGAGCTGGCATCGTGGCAAGCAGAAATATACCAGCAATGAGGTGGACTTCATCGGAATGTTTGACCCCCTCCGAACAGTACTGGTCGAGGCGAGGACGAGATAGCCCACGTCAGGAAACCCTGGAAATCTCCATTTGAACCTTTGTCGACTGGTCTGGCCTGGAGTATTCACACGGCTCAGGTTTCAGCTTTCACTCACCTAGATTTCTGATAACAGACTACAGTGGGCACACAGTCAGACTAGATTAGGTCGCACAGTGGGCCTCCGTGAACGTTTGGTTATGACTTGGTAATCCAAGTAACTCACATAGTCAGATAACCATTCCTTCTGATAACACTAACCCAGACTAGGCATAGTGGACATTTATCCTAACCTAATCTGTGTACTATCCTGCGGTTGCTTGGTTATGCAATGGTCACCAGCGAGCTAGCTAGGCTTCTCCAGCTCCGACAGGCTCGCTGATATCTCATTCTAAAGCAACATCAAATTGGTCGACTGGTCAAGGCATTCCTACACTGGACTATGTCTTTATCGCACGTCGAGACGAGTAGAGTGGCTCCACTTCCGACCAGGCTCAATGTAGGCACTCAATGCACTTACCTCATTCCATTGAGCATGCTTTTTTTTTTTCACGTTGGACTATCCGTAATCCCATCCATATCCTGCTTGAATGTCAGGACAGGTGTTGGAATGCCGTCCATACAGCGGCCCTGATCCAGCTGCACTTCGTTCGTAGTGTGCATCTGGCTGTCAGGCAGATGCTGCTGAGGTTCCAAGAGTTGCTGGTGGGATTCTATGGGATGTGAGTGACTAGTAAGCGACGGGTTAAGTGTTAGTTGTTGCTCTTCTAGTAACCTCCAAGCCTCCTCAAGACCATGCTGCTGTGTCCCAGAAATCGGGGTTTCCTGCTGCTGCTGCTGCTGCTGCTGCTGCTGTTCCTGAGACCACTCCTGCTGCTGCTGTTCCATGTACCGTAGCACTGGCAGCGATTTAGAGCCCTGATCTCCCCCATGGGGAAAGGTTGCACTGGTTTCCAGCGTCTGCTCAATCTGGTGCTGCTGAAACCATCCCCCTTGCTGCTGCTGCTGTTGCTGCTGCTGCTGCTGCTGCTGCTGCTGCTGCTGCTGCTGCTGTGTCAATGGCGCTTGCTGATACCCAGGTTGCTCCTCCTGCTGTTGCTGATTTGAATACTCGAGCTGAGGCTGTCCCTGTCGTTCTGATTGCTGCTGCGCTATTATTTGCTGCCACTCCGCTGTATGTCCCTGAGCATAGCCTGCTGAATTGTTGCTTGATGCGCACATCATCATGACATCTGATGGCATGGCTCCAGCAGGGAAACCTGATGGACCTTGAATGAGGTGTGGAGAAAGGTCTCCTGATGCAATGACTCCTGACGACGTGGCTTCTGATGACATAGCTCCTAATGGCATGACTTGTGTTGGCATGACTCCTGATGATGTGGCTAATGAAGCCACATCACCTGATGGCACATGATATGACGGGAAGGAACCTGATGGTAATTGCTGTGAGTTGCCTCCAGGATTTGGTGAAACGCCATGCATGGGCTCGGGAATGTGCTGCAACAGCTGATTCACGCATTGCAATTGCTGCAAACCAGACTGAAAAGGCTGTGGCATTGAGATAGAATGGAAGGGCTGTGACCTGTTCTCCAAATCCTGTTGCTCCTGGTGATCTGCACCATCTCTCACATCCCCCATCTGCATATCTTGCCTTGCAGAAATCAGCAACGGCATGGCATCAGGGGGTATGCTGCTGGGAGCTGGCAGGGAGGCGCATGACGCGTGGTGCTGAAATGAGTTTTCAGTCGACTCAACAGGAGATGAACCTGATGGAGGGTGGTGATGGTGGCTCACGTGCTGGCACGTGCACGAAGTGTGCAAGAGAGTGTTGTTCGAGTTTTCCAGATGCGGCTCTTGCTGCGGCTGCTGCTCCTGCTGTTCGTGCTCCTGGTGCTGTTGTTGTTGTTGCTCGTGTTGCTGCTCATGGTGCTGCTGTTGGTGCTGCTGCTGCTGCTGCTGCTGCTGGTGTTGGTGCTGTTGTTGCTGGTGCAGCTGGTACTGGTGTTCGTGATGCTGCAGGTGCTGCTGGCTGTGAATGGAGTCGTGGTTGTTACTCTGATCCCCTTGGCTCTGAAGATAGTTGATTGGAGCAGCAACATAGAGCTGCGGCGGCTGCTGCTGCTGCTGCTCCTGACCTGGTGGAAACGTGTGCTGATTCTGATCCTGCGTTTGCATCTGCTCAAATTCCTGTTGCTTAAGCTGTTGCTGCTCATGTTGCGTCTGCCCGTGCTGTTGTTGCTGCTGCTGCTGCTGCTGCTGCTGCTGCTGCTGCTGAAGCGTCTCTTTCAGGCCTTGTGCCTCCCACAACCCATCCATCCCCTGTGAACCACCCAATATATTCCCTCCCCCCTGCACAGAACCATCCTGACCCCGACCCCCATCCACACTCCATCCTCGACTCCCGTCAAACAAGAACCTGCTCTGAGGTGACTTTTGAGTCGACTCAAATGACACGTCCACACCACCCATCACATTCCCGCCTCCCTGCACCAACCCATTCTGACCCGTACCCCCATCCACACTCCCTCCTTGACTCGCATCAAACGAGAAACTGCTTGGACTGGGAGGAAACGCACCACAAGTCTGGGTAGACAAGTTACGTTCCAGTGCGTGCGAGGGAGCACCATTCTGAGTCGACTCCAAAGGAAACGCGCCACAGGTTTGGGTGGACATGTTTCGTTGCAATGTATGTCGCCGCAGGGAGGGAGCATCTGGGGGAGGCCACGAGCGGGACCCGGACAACGCAGCAGGTGGGGACTGACTGACGCATTGTAGAGGCGTGGTGGGGCGTGTGAGAGGCGGAATGGAGAGATGCAAGGGCGATTGGTGATTTGAGTCGGTGGAACAGTGGGCAGGGGTGTGAAGCGCAGGGCTGTTAAGTGACATGTGTGGTTGGAAGGGCAGCTTCGGAGGGTTGAACTGCTGTGCGTGGGGTAGGGTTGGGAGGCGCAAGGGAAGGAGTCTCGTTGCGTAGTCGAGGGACGGACGCTTCGCCTCTCTTTGGTTTTCGTCTTCCTGCTGCTGCCGCTGCGGCTGCTGAAAAGGATGCTGATAATGATGTTTTTGCTGGTGTTGATGGTGGTAGTTCTGCTGGTGGTGATTATTTGGAAGGTGCTGTTGTTGTTGTTGTTGTTGTTGTTGCTGCTGCTGCATTTGTGGTACTTGTGGTTGGTGCTGCTGTTGCTGCTGCTGCTGCTGCTGCATTTGTGGTACTTGTGGTTGGTGCTGCTGTTGCTGCTGCTGCTGCTGCTGCATTTGTGGTACTTGTGGTTGGTGCTGCTGTTGCTGCTGCTGCTGCTGCTGCATTTGTGGTACTTGTGGTTGGTGCTGCTGTTGCTGCTGCTGCTGCTGCATTTGTGGTACTTGTGGTTGGTGCTGCTGTTGCTGCTGCTGCTGCTGCTGCATTTGTGGTGCTTGTGGTTGGTGCTGCTGTTGCTGCTTCTGCTGCTGCATTTGTGGTGCTTGTGGTTGGTGCTGCCACATATGCTGCTGCTGCAGTTGCAAGGGCCATTGCTGCTGCTGCCATGGCTCTTGCGACACCTTCAGTTCTTGATACTGACGTGACAGGCATGCACCCTCCTCGTTCTGACTGTGCTGCTGCCCTTCCTGCTGTGATTGCTGCTGCAGTTGCTGCTGTGGTTTCTGCTGCAGTTGCTGCTGTGGTTGCAGCTGCATTTGCAACTGTGGCTGTTGCTGTGGCTGTTGCTGCGTCAGCTGCTGGTGATGGATACGAGATTGATTGTATGTTGCTGGCATCGGATCGCCACATTGATGCTGTTGACGCTGGAGGTGCTGTTGATCCGACTGCTGCAGCCCATGTTGGTCCGGATGCTTCCCTTGTTGCGGGTCCACCTGAAAATACCCCTGAGCTTGATTCTGGTGGAACGCCAGTTCTTGCTGGTGGCCCCCAAAGGGCGGCGGCTGCATTCTCTCCTGGCCATGCACCTGAAACGTATGCTGCGTATGTTGCGGCGGCTGTTGCTGCTGGTGTGGCTGCTGCTGTTGTTCAGTGAGCATTTGAGTATGCTCATGGTGCTGCTGTGGCTGTGTGAGCACTGGATACTGCTGATGCTGATGCTCACGCTGATGCTGAGGCACAACTGGTGCGTGTGAATGCTCCTGCCACGGCTGCTGCACTTGCTGTTGTAGCTGCTGCTGCTGCTGCTGCTGCCATGGCTGCTGCTGTTGTTGCTGCTGAAGGCGTGGAGCTTGCGGCTGTTGCTGCAAATGCTGTTGCGGTGGTTGCTGCTGCCACTGCTGCTGCTGCGGCTGTTGCTGCTGCCACTGCTGCTGCTGCGGTTGTTGTTGCTGCCACTGATGCTGCTGCTGCTGCGGCTGCTGCTGTTGTTGTTGTTGCTGTTGCTCTTGTTGCTGCTCCTGTTTTTGCTGCTGGTATGGCATAGGAGGAACCATTGGCCGATGCTGCTGCTGCAGTTGCTGTTGAGAAACTTGCGACACGTGTTGTGCCTGCCATGGTGACTCGCCCCCACTCCACGCTCCTTCCTCCACTTTCACCACCCCCACACGCCCTCTCGTCTCTACGCTAATTGCTCCTGTTGCTGATACTCTTGCTGAGGCTGCTGCTGCTGCTGCAGCTACAGTCGCCGCTGCCGCTCCAGGTCCCATGATTACTGCCCCTGCTGCATTCAAGCTCACCCCTGGCCTCAGCATAACAGCGCCTGAAGTCATAGTAACCGCCACTGACGAACCCCCTCCTTGCGTCTCCCTTCCATGAAGAGTACTCCGTGCTTCAGGCGCTGTATCTGGCGGCCCAGCTGCACTCCAAGGGACTGCCGCCCCTCCTGGGCTGGCAAGTGATGTCGCTCCTTCTGGGCTAGCAAATGCCGCCGACCCTCGTGGGCTGGGAAAAGCTGGCGCTGGCGCTCCTCCTGGGCTGGGAAATGCAGGCGCCGCTCCTGCGCTCGCAAATGCTGCCATCCCTCCTCCTTCCACCACTCCGCTTGCCGCTCCTCCTGCCACTCCACTAGCCACTCCTCCCGTCGTGCCTGCTCCTCCGACCCCCTCCGCCACATTCCCCTGCCCGAACAGGTTTCCGTTTCGGACTGGCCGATTCACCCCGGGACAAAACCCGGAATCCCCAGGCAGTGGGGTTCGGATGGGGGCAGAGGGGGCTGGAGAGGGGGAGATAGGAGAGGCGGCCATGGGGTGATTATGCTCGTGAAGGTATGTCACTTCAAAGGAGACCGGGCCCGCACTAGCGCTGCCGTCTAGACTGAACTGCCAGTCTACCTGCTTCTTTGCCGGACATGGCTCGAAGTGGCACATTCCACCGCCGCCGCTTCCGCCAGTGCAGCCGCTTCCGCTGGCGCCGCCGCCACCGGTCGCGCTCTTCTCTCCGCTCGCACCGCCGTCGCCGCCGCCGCCGCCGCCGCTGCTACTCTTGGTGAAGGCGGGCCGGGTCACTGCCCCGCCGCCGGTCGCGCCGCTTGCGCTGGTCTTATTCTTGGTGCCGATGATGGGAGTGCCGCCGCTGCTGGGAGTGGTTTTGCAAGGAGTGCTTTTGCTGGGAGTGCTGCCGCTGGGAGTGCTTCTGGCGCCAGCGGAAGCAGCTTCGGATGGCGGCGGTGGGGTACCAGACCTGTCTTGGTAAGGTGTCATCTCCATTGCTGCAGATGTACCTGACCCAGCTGGCCCGGATCCAAGCGGCCCGGATCCAAGCGGCCCTAGTCTAGATGGCCCAGATCCAGATGGCCCTGTCCCGGATGGGCTTGACCCAGATGGTCCTGAACCAGGTTCCCCTGACCCAGGTGGCCCGGATCCAGGTAGATCAGATGTTGCCACAGGTTCGGCTGGTGCCGATCCAGTTGCTAAAGCACCCGAGGGCACTGCTGCTGCTTCTGCTGCTCCTCCTCCTGCTCCTGCCGCTCCTGCTCCTGCGCCTGCTCCTGTTCCTGCTGCTCCTGCTGCTGCTGGTGCTGCTGGTCCCAAACTTTCCGCTGATGTCGTTCGAAGCATCGAGCTAGCGCACTTGAAGTATGACCTGGGGAAGGCAGTAGCAGGTGGGGAATGGGGGGGAATGGGGGGAATGGTGGAAATGGGGGGAATGGGGGGGAAAGGGGGGTGTAAAAAGGGGGAGTAAGGGGGGGGGTAAGGGGAGAGGGAGGGTGGCATGTTGGAGGAGACACATCCAAAGACAGATCAAGAGGAAAGTCTCGAGAGGCCAGACGTTCCCCCTCCCGCCTCCCCCCCACCCCGTTCTTTCTCTTTCATTCCCCTCCCGATCACCTTCCCCCTTTCCTCCCCTCCTCTCCCCATTCCACCCTCCTCGATCCGCCTTCCCACACCCCCCGCTTCCCTCTTTGATCGACACACTGCCGCCTGCCTGTGCTTATGCCCTCAACCCACCTGATCTTCAACATTTAAGCGGGATTTGTTCTTATCCTCTCCAAGAGAGCCACCTCAACACTCGTCCGCTCACCGGATCTTCCTGATTTACAGGTCTTTTGACGTCCTCACATGCCATGTCTACTACTCCACCCACCTAATTTTCGAGTTCCCGCTGCGCGCAAGCCGCTTCTCCCCGTATTTCAGCCAGCAGTACCCGTCGTCGGGCAGGGCCCCCTGGGGAATGCGCCTCCGGAGCGCAGCCGCCGCCGCAGCGGCGGACAGAGGCGGGGCGGCGAGCGCCGGCACTTCCGCCGGCGCCCCCGGCGGCGTTGTGAATCCGTTCGTCACGGCCGGCACGGGGACGCCGCTGAATCGTCCATCTGCTCCGGCGGCGCCGCAACTCGGTGGCGGCGGCGTCACTGACTGCCGCCGGTCAACACCGCCGAACAAGCCGCTAGCAGCTATCAACTGGATGCTACTACTAGTACTACTATTAGTCGTGGTAGTAAAAGGTACTACAGGCGACACGGTGGTATCGTTAGTACTATTACTGCTACAACTAGTTACGCTCCGAGCATTCCAATGTGGAATCGACGCAGCCTGGGGTGCACTGAACAATGCAGGGCGACTAATTGTGGTACTATTGTCCCGCGCGGGAACATTAGATACGCCGCAAAACCTGCCGCTAAATGCGGCGTGCGCTGTAGCGGCAGCGGCGGCCGCACCTGACGTCACGTGGGTTTCCTGATCTGGCACGCGTGGCATCATGGCAACGGCATCATCTGTCTGTACAAGACGTTCTAGGACTAGCGCGTATCCCGCGGCGGCACTGAATCTATTACCAAAACTACTACTACTACCGTGGATCTCAATATGGCTTAGGAATTTTGTTCTCGAGGAAGATTGTCGAACGCGTTTTCGCTGTGCTTGCATCCCTAGAACCCGTTGGAAACTGCCGATACGCGTAATGTTACCGCGTGAATCCCCGGGCGGCATTCGCTTGTCGCCACACTGCTCGTCTTGGAGGAGTCACCGCTATCCAACACCTTGCCACATCAATGTTCGAACATCGACTAAGGGGTGCCGGGTATTTAGATATGAAAACCCGACGGAACTCAAGACGCGTCAAATGCTCTTAAAGCTCGCGTCTCATATTTACTACTGTTTAAAGCCAGGATCTCAAGTAGTTTGGCTGTTTTGCAGTTAGTGAATTGTGTTAGGCTGTGATTGGTTGACGAGGTAGAGTAGTTGACGAGAGCTGAAACGAGGGATGCGAAGCAAACAAAAATCGCAGTGAACTTCCGAACCAACTAGGCACGGAAATCTGGTTGGGTTCCGAAGCTCATTTCCCAGCAATGTGTCTCACTTGCCGAAAAATCTCATGCACAGCAATTTGTTTTGCAATTGAGATTCACGGGCAAATCGGGGATCAGTCGCACACTGAACCTCCAACCCAACCACTCGATTTCGCCTAAACAAACAGGGTGACTCGAGCTGCAAGTGTTTTGCAATTGAAGCCAATTTCTCTTACTTGAGATCCTGGCTTTAACACTTGGTTGGGAAAGTAAGATCCTGATTGGTTTACGAGTGACGAGTTTTTTTACGAGCGGGGGAAATACATGCGCGAAGTTCCAAAGTGTTGAGGCCAACACAAGAGCTCAGGGGCAGGTTTGGGTCACATCCGAACCTCTTGCGTGACAGGTTTGGGAAGTTGCACTTTGTGCGACCAACACTGACGACGGGAACACAGATTGTGCAAGGGAGTGAAGTGATAGGGAAAAATCAAGCGCCAAGGTTAGCACTCCAGCCCTACCTCCTTACACGTAGTAGAAGCATTACCACTCCATTAGTAACCTAGCTCCTATCCAAAGGCGTCAAAAGGACAAAGAATGTCACGTAACAGGGGTGAGCAGCAGTAGCGCTCCCCTTTGCCTATGCTTATGATTAGGTAATAGCCGTCATCTTCCCACCACCCGACCTCCGCTTCCCCGCCACCCCATCTCCCCTGCTCGCCGACCGATCTCCCGTGCAACCCGCCCGAGTTCCCGTTCCCGCGGCCCGATCTCCCATTTCTGCCGCCCAATATCCCCTTCTCGCCTCCTCTCGCCTCCCCGCGCGTGCTCCTCTCGCCTCTCAGCGCGTGCTCCTCTCCCCTCCCAGCGCGTGCTCCTCTCCCCTCCGCGTGCGTGCTCCTCTCCCCTCCGCGTGCGTGCTCCTCTCCCCTCCGCGTGCGTGCTCCTCTCGCCTCCCCGCGAGTGCTCCTCTCCCCTCCCCGTGCGTGCTCCTCTCGTCTCTCCGCGCGTGCTCCTCTCCCCTCCCCGCGCGTGCTCCTCTCCCCTCCGCGTGCGTGCTCCTCTCCCCTCCGCGTGCGTGCTCCTCTCCCCTCCGCGTGCGTGCTCCTCTCGCCTCCCCGCGCGTGCTCCTCTCCCCTCCCCGTGCGTGCTCCTCTCGCCTCCTCGCGCGGCATCCCCCCTGCACGCCCTCATTTCCCCCCCTGCACGCCCTCATTTCCCCCCCTGCACGCCCTCATTTCCCCCCCTGCAGGCTCTCATTACCCCCCTTTTATGCACCCGTTTCCCCTCTGCTCACTCTCTTTCACCCCTCACTCACGCGTTTTCCCCTCTGCTCACTCTCTTTCCCCCACACTCACCCTTTCTCCCCTCTGCCCACTCTGTTTCCCCCGTCACTCACCTTCTTACCGAATTCTCACTTTTCATTCACCCCTTTTTCCAATCCCGCTTCCCCTTTTCCATCTCTCCTTCATGCCTCCCACCACCTCTCCCTGCCTTCCTTGCTTCTCTCCTTATCTCCTTCATGCCTCCCACCATCTCGTTTTCCTTCTCATCTCTTGTGGGCCACATCACAAGGCCCGTCTGCCCTCTCACACTCTTCCTGCCATTCTCACTCTCGCAATCCTCACCGCCGTCCCTTCCTTCCTGTAACCAATCTCCCCTCCCCCCTTTTCCCTTCCTTCCCTCCACTTCCTCCCCTTCCCTTCCTTCTCTCCCCATCATTCCCTCCCCTTCCTCCCCTCCCCTTCATCCCCATCCCTGCCCTTTCCTCCCTGCCCTTCCCTTCTCGACCCCGCCCTTCTACGTCACTCCTCGCCTTCTGCCCTCCAGTTCATGTGCATGTGCTGCCATCACTTTTGCCCCATACATGCATCTTATTAACTCATGTTTACTCGCTTGTATTCCCTTTTCACCCTCCGTCCCTTCAAATCTCCCCTCACTACCCATCTCCCTGCCTTTCCATCACACCTCCCTGCCTTCTCATGGATTTGAGGCACCATTGCGACACCAGGTGTCATACAACCTGTAATGCATACGCAAAGCTACAAGCTACAAGCCAGTATAGGAACATGCCAGTATTAGGGACATGCCTCTATCTATCCTTCTGACACTCTCAGTGTCCATACATCTTGGAAGAATATCTTGCACTGCAGAAAGAAAAGTACATATTGTGCCTTTGATATGGATATCTCCTACACTAATACAGTATCATGCTTGCATACAACACACAAGAAAAACAGGTGGTGGTACGGTATAGAGCGTGGACTAGCTTTAGCTGCGCCTCAGCTTGCTCCTCTGCTTCGCCACTGAAAATACAGGGAGTGGAGTAGGCAGGAATAATTGTGTGAAGGAACATGGGGGAGGTGGTGTGAGGTGCCAAAGGAACAACTGCAAGGGAACACAAGCAAGCGCACATGATGAAAGCATGTGGGGAGACAGTGATGGGTGCACATGCATGGGAACTACGGTAGTGGGCGGGTGAGGTGTGAAGGGGAAGGGGAGGGCATGAAAAGGAAGGGAAGGGTTGAGAAGGGATGGGGAAGGGAAGCGCAGGGCAGGGAGGGAAAGGCAGGGATGGGGAGGGCAGGGTGGAACAGGGCAGAGGGTGGGGGGAAGGAGGGCTGAGGGGATGGGGGGGAGCAGGGAAGGGGATGGGGGGAAGCAGGGAAGGGGATGGGGGGAAGCAGGGAAGGGGATGGGGGGAAGCAGGGGGGGAACGGAGGAGAAGCAGGGGGGGAAATAGAGAGCAGAGGGGAAATTGATGGAAAAGCAGAGCGGGAATTGATGGGGAGCAGAAGGGGGAATGACGGGATTTATCGCAACCCGTCGTTCGCACCTAATCAGGGCAGCAGGGAGAATGAGTGGAAAGGCAAGGGGGGTGGGGGAAAGGAAAAGGGGTTGGGGAGGAGAGAACGGAGATAGGGAGGATGAACGCCGGCAAGCAGGAGCGCATTTCCTGTCTCCACTCACCTCCCCTCCCATTTCCTCCCCTCCACATCCCACCTACCCCCTCCCCTCCCCCCCCTGCTCCTTCTCCCCGCCTCCACTCCAACCCGCCTCTCCCCCGCTCTCCTCCCGCTCCTTTCTCTCCCTCTTCCGCTGCCTCTCTCCCGCCCTTCCCCTCCTCTCTCCGCTCCTCCGCTCCCTACTTGCTCCTGCTTCGCTCCCTCTCCCACTCCCCCGCTCGGCCCCCATCCCCCCTGCAACCAGTCGACGGCAAGCTGGACGACCGAGTTTTGGGACATGTTTGGCGGCTTCGCGCCACTGGCTGCACTTGCGCTCGCAATCGCCCCACTCGTCCAGGCGCTGCTGCACTGTGCGCTGTTCTCGTGCTGTGCTGTATTACACGATGTGCTCTTCACCCTGCTACGCCAAGGACCTGCATTCATGCATGACCCCCTGCATGCACGCCCCCTCGTCGCGTCCCCTCCCGTCCCTCCCGTTTCCGCCCCGTACCGTCGCATCCCGCCCCTTCCGCGTGCTCCTCTTCCCTCCCTTCCATTTGCGTCCGGTCTCGTCGCATCCCGCCTTCCCGTCACGTCCCCTCCCGGCCCCTCGTCGAGATTCTTACCTTCCTGTGCCGTCCCGTCCCGTCCCTCTAGTCCCTTCCCGTCCAGTCCTGTCCAGTCCCGTCGCTTCCCGTACTGTCCCGTCCTGCCCCATCGCGTCCCTTACCTGGCGCGCCTCATTACCTGGACATGGTTCACGATAAGCACGGGATGTACCCTGGTCGCCGCTGATACTGATAAATGAAGACCTAATTTCAAGTTTATAGGTCGGCCGTATATGCTGATCAACGAGAATCTAACTTTTGTGTAAGAGGTAACCGCGGTTGCTAGTGGAAAGAGTTTTACTCTTGAACCTGAGCCTAGTGCTAGTGCGAAATCGGGTTTCTGAGTTCTGTCAGTCTCATATTTTTCAGCTGTTGTAAATGCTTGATTCGTGCGACAACCTGGTCGCCGGTGGGGGAGTTTGGGCGATCGTGTTGTCGCCGTGCAGGTGTGTTTTCCAAACCTACCTGGGTGCACGATCGCATGATTGGTTTGGCACGTCCCTGCGCATACCGCCAAGCAAGTTTGTAGGTTCCCAACCAATCGTTTCAACCTGGGCCAACCTTCAGTGGAGTTGTGCGACAGTTTGAGGGTTACCGGATACCAAGCGTTTAACACTTGGTTGGGACACAGAAATATGAGACGCGAGCTTTAATTCGAAGGACAACTTGAAACGGAAGCGCTGCTACTAACTCGTGTTGGTTACATACAACAAGGGATGCGGGGCCCCGCGTAAACGAGCAGTAGAGGGCCTACAGTAGGTCGTAGTTTATCGTGAAGCACTAATGTGGCGCTGCGTAACAACCATGCCTGTCATTCATTAGTGCCATTCTTTGGTGAAGAGGGTCGCGCGGATTGGACGAGCATAGAATCCAATGGCATAAACTTTGACTTTCAGCTCCTACAGTCGATGCTCAACCTATCACAAACAATTTGCTTCTCGCAATTAGAAAATTTAGTCACTCGCGAACGTTTTGCCCGTGAGTGACTAAATTGACCATTGTGCTGATTTCGGGGTACAGTCACCAAGTTGCGGAAGAAACACATCTACAGTTCATAAACAACAACGGTTGCTGGTCATCAGAAATGTTTACCTGGTTACGAAATTAAAGCCCTACAGTCGATTCACATTGCAATTTCATATTACAGTCACATTTTTGCCCGTGGCGACAAGGGCGAATGTGGCGAAATTCCCAGAACACGTTTCACGCACATGCCGCCCGCCTACATGGTGTTCTCGTAATGAGCACTGATTGTACTGTATGGGCGGATCAAAGCAGGAAGACGAGTCCCTGAGGCTCCTCTTACCCACCACCATGATGGGCAGGATTTGAGAACCATATGCTCATGCTTGTCATGGGAACCCTGGAGGAGATTTGTTGTTACGGAATAGAGATTTTGCAAAAGCTTCCTTTCCATCCTCTCACTCACCTCCACTCCACTCCATCCTGTACAGTAATGCTTGCCAGTCCTACTTTGAGAATACTGTTCAAGTCAATCCGCGTTGTTGCCATCCATACACCAGACTGAACAGCTGCCCTGGCCCGCGTTTCGTGTTCGCGTGTCCAGAATTTTGACCAGACCCAGTAACAACAAATCTCAGCAGAGCCGAATCACGACAGCTCCCAATTTGCCAGCTGGATTGCGAAAAAATAGCTCACTTCGTCACTCCTCGTTAATGCTGTCACTGTAGTTGTTACACACAGTGCGTCTTCTTTCCGTCCGAAATCAAGATGGTTCTATGAGTTGAAGCTTAGCTGATATCCAGATAGAAGATAGCTTTTAATCATTTGTAGTAGGGATCTCCTAATAAAATTTATAGCTCATTATGAAGATATATATTTATCATCTGCAATATAATATATAATATATAAACAGTATTTCTTAATTATATATTATATCTGGTTAAATATATAAAACTTATTAAAAATGATCAAACTGTTTAATATGTCAAACATCAATATATAAAATTACATTTTACCTTCTTTCGTTTTTATATTATAATAAGAACCACAAAATCACACATATATATAATATTTAAGTAGGATAATGGTCAGTCATGGTCTTATAAAGTAGTCAGTATAGATCCATATGTTTTCAAATTCGAATAACAGTAAAGTTTCATGTTTGTTTTTTTATAATTTCGTCTAATTGTAGCTATATGGTGGAGATAACTGTATTCTAAAGTTCAATGTTGTGAATCAACCATTCGGGTAAGTTAAACTTAGTTCGTGGGCGGGGAAGTGGAGCAATGACATCTATTGCGTAATATACATTGTAAGCTGTGGCGAGTTGACGAATGAGGAGGCATTGGTAAGAGCCATGTTCACTCAGTTATTTATGACTTTATGAAGGTTCTCGATGACATACATGCAAATTTTCAGCAGTATTATTCTGTTGGCACGCCCCACGTCAGCGTCTCTCGTGCCAGAGCAATGCGGCGCACTGACTTGGCTTGGGGCATGATAAAAAAAAAACCCGACAAATTTGCGCAAGCTTAGTCAGTTGTCCGAGTTGGCATAGATTGTGGCTTGCCTACAGCCTTTCAAAACAAATGCAACATCTTGAGCCGATGCAGTGCACCGGTAGATGCAACATGCCGTAACTGTTTTTTTTTTTTCGTCTAACCCAGTGAGCCGACTTTACGAGAAAAAAATGATACGACTATCCGAGCAGCACTGACGATTCCTCATTTTCAAGAAAGGATGATATTGAAACAACTGGTCTATTGAATTCGAACAGGTATGTGGCCTTATGTAGATACGGAAAATGTGGCTGAATTTCTAAAGAAAACATAGAATGTGCTTAACTCAAATAGATACGAACTGTACTGTGACTGTATCTGATACCCAGCTAGCTGGGCTTAACTGTGACTTGTCATATATTTTCCCTTTACAGAATGGCAGACTTTGATTTTTTTCGTTATGTAGGTGTCAGATTTATATGACATAGCTACTGTAGGCTATAGTGGGGTAGCACATATGGGGTACAGTTTTCTAGGGTTTGCATTTGTACCCAACTTTCCCTTAGTCAATCATTCTCGTTCAATTTCACATGGTATAGAGCAGGTTCCCCTGTGGGAACTGTTCCTAGGGCCCACCGATTTTTTTTTCCTGCCCGGAGCGCGCTCACCCTCTGCCCGAGTCGCGCTCCCCCCCTTACGACCCCGTCGCGCCGCCCTCGCGGCCCCGTCGCGTCGCGCCGCCCTCGCGGCCCTTTCGCGCCGCCCCTTTCTGCGGCTCGTCGCCGCCTCCTTCAGCGGCGTCGCCGCCCCCCCCCTTACGGCCCGTCGCCGCCCCCCCTTGCGGCCCGTCGCCGCCTCTCCCCTTGCGGCCCGTCGCCGCCTCCCCCCCTCGCGGCCCGTCGCCGCCTCTTACAGCGGCCCCACCGACCCCGCGCGCGCCGCCCTAGCGGCCTCTTGCGCCGCCCGTCGGCCCCGCTTGCCGCCCTTGCGGCCCTTCGAGCCGCCCGTCGGCCCACCGTGAGCCGCCCTAGCGGCATCGACGCCGCCCTTCCCGGCCCCGACGCCACCTCGGCTGGCCCCGGCGCCAGCTCCTCCGGCCCCGGCCTCTGCTCCTACGACCCCGGCGCCTGCTCCTACGGCCCCGGCGCCGCCCTTCCCGGCTCCGACGCCGCCTCCCACCAGCCCCTCCGCCGTCCCTGATCAGGAGCCGCTGCCGCCAAGCCGCCCAGCGACCGAGCCGCCGGGCCGCCGAGCCGCCCCGCAACCGAGCAGCCGAGCCGCCCAGCCGCCGAGCCGCCCAGCAGCAGAGCCACCCGAGCCGCCGAGCCGCCGAGCCGCCCTGCCGCCGAGCCACCCGAGTCGCCGAGCCGCCCAGCAGCCGAGCCGCCCAGCAGCCGAGCCGCCCAGTCGCCGAGCAGCCCAGCAGCCGAGCCGCCGAGCCGCCGAGCCGCCGAGCAGCCGAGTCGCCGAGCCGCCCTGCAGCCGAGCCGCCCAGCCGCCGGGTCGCCGCGCCGCCCTGCAGCCGAGCCCCCCCCCGAGCCGCCCTGTCCGGTAAGAGCAGCGCCTCTCTCACAGCACTGCCCTCACCCTACTGTCTGCGCTGCTAGTCTACTGCTGTCATGGCTACCCCTAGTGTCCTCGCTTTTGACGCTGAGGGTCGGGCCATTGACTTTGAAGTCTGGATAGATGACCTGCAGCTTTTCTTACAGTGCGATAGGGCAGACGGCCTCTCCCTCTTTGACCTCACTTCTGGTGCCTCTCCTGCCCCCGCTGCTGATGCTGACGCCACTGTTCGCTCCCAGTGGGCCACGCGCGATGCTGCTGCACGTCTTGCTGTGCGTCGCCACCTGCCTACCTCTGAGCGTGCGCACTTTAGCCAGTACAAGAGTGCTCAGACCTTGTACGACGCTGTAGTTGCGCGCTACTCGTCCCCTGCCACTGCTGCACTGAGCCGCCTCATGCTACCGTACCTCTTCCCTGACCTTGCTGCCTTTCCCACAGTCGCTGACCTCATTACGCACCTCCGCACTAGTGACACTCGCTACCGCGCTGCGCTTCCTGCTGAGTTCTGCGCCAAGAACCCCCCCCCCCATGTACATCACCCTCTACTACATAGTCACCCGGCTCCCTGACTCCCTTCGCGTAGTCAGGGACCACTTCCTCTCGGTTTGCCCCACCACTCTCACCGTTGACCTCCTCGAGAAGGCCCTCCTAGCAGCAGAAAAGAGCA